GTGAGCCGGCCACGGTGTGCTCGGGAAGTTACATTTGCTGTTTAAGGCACTTGCCCGGTGACTGGCCCCAACTAAAGACAGACACGGGGCCAAGTGGCAATTACTGCATTTCTCTCGTGATGGGAAATTTCCTCGGATCTGTTCGCGGGTCACTTAGGGGCAGGGCTTCCCTGCCAGAAGGAAAGCTCTGGGGGGACAGAGGTCTGCACAGCGTCAGTACCCGATACATTTGTCTAATGACCGTTTTCTATTCAAGTATTTCTCCAAGAGGACTCAGAGCTCACTGTTTGGTGGTCACAAAGGACTTCAGTCTGGGGGGTCCTGAAACATATACAATTTAGGGGGAGCCCTTAAAGAAAAAGAATACAGCTTTATTGGTTTTCTTTTTTTAATCAGGTGCTGGGCACACACACACAGCGGGGTTCCGAGACAGCAGCTCCCGTGCCTCGGAGTGAAGCCGTGCCTGGACACCCTCAGATCATTTTCAGAAGGACAAGGGACCAAACAGACATGGGCAGGAGATGGTGGGTTAAAATTAAATCCCTTCTGGTGTTTCTTCCCCTGTGGGATTTTTTGTTTTTTAAGCTATAGACAATTTATCAAAGTCACCAATCCAGAAACTCAATTCTTCATTACTTTTTTAATGCAACTGATACAACTTACTAGGAGTCTATGTTTAAAACCTGCAGATTTAAATGGTCACTTTTAAGGGGCTTTTTGCACTTGAGGTGTCCACCCCTCCCCCCACCCCAACTACGGCCCCATAGGACCCTAAAAGGCTCTTGGGGCACCTCATTCTCTGAGAAGGCAGGGCAAAGAGTGCTACCTCGCACAGCCCTTGCAGGCTGTGGTGCCGGGGGCCTCACCCAGGGGACCCCAGGTGATGCCTTTCATGAGGCTCAATGCTAATGAGGCCAAGTTCCCTTCCCTGCTCGGAAACCGCAGCATAGCCCACAGCTCGTTGGATGTGCCCAGATATCAGAGAGGTTGAAGGCTCAGCCCAGGGTCACTGAGAAACCCTTGGCAGTGTGGAGAAGGTACAGGGGACCAGATCCCAGCCCAGGGCTGCTCACCCCTTCTGCCCTGGGAAGATGGGCGGGAATACCTAGGAGACCTGAAAACCTGCCCCATCACCCTCCTCAGGTTCTAAAAGACAGACTAGGAACAAAGTGGCTCTAGGAGGGGGCCCTTCAGGCAGGCCTGTTTGCCTCAAACACTGTGGTCAATCACCTCCTTCTCCCTGGGCTGGGCGGTCACCGTGTGCAGCTGCCACCAGCCTCCCAGCAGAGGTTATGAGACACTGGAGCTAGGGCTTCGGTGATGGAAGATTACACACACCCACCCCAGCATGATGGGTGTGGAGGGTCCTCAGAGGGCAGAGCAGGGAGACTGAGGTCCCCAGGAGGACACTCCCAAGTTACGGCAATGCCCACAGCTTCCTTACAGAGGGCGGTCAGTCCTGGGCTCAAATCCCAGCTGCTCTATGTAGAAGCCGTGTGCCTCGGGAACAGACACAGCACCTGAGCCTGACTTTCCCATCTGTAAAATGGGGAGAACAGGCGTTCCTACCACGACTTCCAGTCAGGTTTTAGAAGACTAAAGTAACGTGCTGGAGCTACAGAGCACACAAAACACGCTCAATTAGGAACCGCTTACATCCACGAACATGCCTATGAACCATGCCCTGGATAAAGTCTTCCCCAGGGAATCGCACCCCCTGTGGAGGGACACAGCGTTAACAAGTCTCACGGATTCCACACTTCGAGGCTCATACAGAACATTGGCAAGAAACTCTCGTTTCTTCCTCATTACTTTACTCTCCCCCATTCATTCAACCAAGCGGTAGTGGTCCTCCCAGCGCCTGTGGTATGTCACCAGCCCAGGACACAGCACCAGGGCCAGGGACAAAGTCCCAGTTCCTGCTCCTCATGGGGCCCGCTGTCCGTTATGGCCACAGTTACGGTTCTGCACTGTCAACGGGGGGATGGGGCACCCCAGGAGGAGGCTGTGGGAGTGCAGGGGGGGAGGAGGGTTATCTTGGAGGAGAAAGGTCCACAAGGAGACCTCCGCAAAGCCAAAACCAGCATCCGGAGACCTTGGTGGACCCCAGCTGAAGAGTACGGACATGACCTCAGGGCACCGGGGAGCCCCGAGGCTGGGAACAGGGTCTGCTCCCTGGGGCCAGGCAGACACACTCAGGGCTTGCGTGAGGCCAGGTGGGAAAAGCATGACGCGTAGGATGGTCCTGGGGGTGCGTGCGGAGGATGGGGGGCAGAGCCCACGGCTCGTGTGTCCACAAGAGCCTGCAACACGGGCCCCCCAGGGTCTGCAGGGGTGCAGTCTCCTCCCACCCAACCCAGAGGGGCTCCTGGGCACCCTCCTGGGTGCTGGGGGGTACTGACTTGTCCGTGACCACGCGTGCTTGTTGGAAATGCAGAGTCTGGGCTTCCGCTCCAGACCTGTGAGTCAAACCTGCGTGGTTACCTGGTTCCCAGGGGATCACACACACACACACACACACACACACACACACACACACACACATTCACACTTGCCGTCCCACGGGGAGGCAGAAACCGCGGCGTGTGGTCACAGGGAAGACGGAAGGGGCCCGGGGAGCCTGACAGGTTGCTGATGGGGCAGGGGCATCATCGAGGCGGACTTCCAGAAGAAACCTCGCTGCTGCTAAGACTAAAAGGCCACCCTGGATTGAGGCGGAGGGATGCAGGGCGGAGGAGGGAGGCTACAGGCTTGGGGCAAGAGGAGGCAGTGAGTACCACACAGACGGACATCTGAGCCCCGGGGGCAGGAGGCCATGGCCTCCTCTGCTGGGCGCTTACTATGCCCCAGGCCGGGCGCTCAGGGGGCGTGTGGCACAGGTGCTGGGTAGAAATGCAGAGTCTCGGGCCCCACACACTGGCCAAAGCCAAGCCTGCATGAGGAAGGTTCCCGAGCGATCTGGGCACACACTCTCGCTGGGAAAGAGCGTGTGCACAGCACATTCAATTCGTGTTTCGGTGTGTCCTTGCAAAGCGCAGGAGGGGCCCCTGGACCACACAGGGCTCAGATGCTAGAACCTCCAACTGGGGGGTGCTCCGTGGGCATCAGAGCCGCCTCCTCACACACCACCTGTGCTCCCCACCTCCTCTCCGGCCCCAGGAACAGACATCTGCCCGTCGGCCTCTCAGCGTGGCTCCCTGAGGCCTCAGCAGCGGTGGGAGGAGAACAGCTCGGCCGCCCAGTGCCAACAAATGGGCTGAGTGGAATCTTCCAGCAGGTGTCTGCTCACGGCCCAGACCAAACCCTGCCGGACTGTGCTTGCTTTACGGGTGACGAGACAGGCTCAGAGACACAAAGCAACTCACTCCCGCTCACACAGCCCCTGCCACAGAGGATGTCAGTGCAACCAGTTTCCCAAGTGTGGATTTTCGCCTCTGCTTCCGCCAAGTCTGGAAATCTTATAAACACATGCAGAAGTTGAACTCAAAACCTCTCAACAGTCAAGACCCAGAGACCCCCTGAGCACAGAAGCTTGGTCCAGGGCTGGGGGTATCACTTGCTGGAAAATTATCTTGAGAAAGGGGGCCCCAATTTCACATGTCACCCACCGTAAGCTGCATTCACCAGCACAGGTACGAGCACCTGGCACAGAGTACAGGCCCAGAAACTTCTGATGGAAGGAGGGGCAGCGGTCCCCTTGCCACTTCCCTTAGACTCCCCGGTGTTCCCACCCTGCACCTGCTCCTCAGCCCACCCTGCCCTGGGAAACCACTCCCCCCTCCCCCTGCCCCAGGCTGAGGACCCAGCCCCACTCCCTCACAGCTTGGGGGCGGGGGGAGGATGGCCAATTTGCATCTCTAGCCCCGGCCGTGGTGATTGGCTCGGACTCAGACATGTAACACTCTCAGAGCCAATGAGAAGCCAGGTGGCTTTCTGCTGGGCTTGCTCTCCCTTCTTTACTGGACTTAGCAGGTGTCCTGGATGGAATTAAAGATGCCACTTCTAACTGGCTACCATTCTGCCTTGGATATAATCACATTGAGACAGGAGGCCACAGGAACCATGCGACTCTAAGCTCTGGGAATGGAGGCTTTGAAAATACAAAGCATGGGATTAACAACATGCTTTTGTTCATACAGACAAGGGAAAGTGGATATTTCATCTGTCAGTTTCCATAAAACTAAGGTGAAGATTAAGTCTGTTCACTAAGACAGAGGAAGCTTTCCCTGGATTGTTCAAATATTTGTTTTTGAACTTCGAAGACTGTAACCTTCAGACCTTGAATATTTATTTTAGGAAACTACATCTGTTAGAAAGTTTGCGGTAGCCCGCTGTTTACTTTGCATTGGAAATTCTGCTTGCTACAGTCTGAATCTAAGCTTCTTGGCCAACTCTGTGATGACCCAACGTGCTAACTGGGACGTCTCACTAACCTAGTTCCATATAACTCAACCAGCATCTAAGACTGAACACACTCTTCTAGGAGAAGGAGTATAGATTAAGGCATTCCCCTTAAACCTACATAACTTCTACAAGATTAGCATTAAAAACACAATGTAGGATGGCCAGTTTCCTTGATAGAAACCAGAGGCTGCTCCGACCATCTTGCCTGAGGCCGGAATGGACCACTGAGAAGAAGCAGAGTCAAGAGACATTCAACAGACCTTCAACATCGACCTGGGATTCTAAGCACAGAGGCCAGGAGCACGTCCTGTTTGGGGAAGTCAGGGTAAGGCAGGCAGGACGGACTGGCCACTGTCTTCACTCTAGTTACACATTCCTGATGCTGAAAGAAACAGGTGTGGCTCTAGATTGGCTCTAGAACATCTCATCTAGAAGGGACCAAAAGAATCACAACAACTTCGGGTTTGCTGCAGGAAATGGGGTAACCCAGGAGCTCTTCTAAAGTCACTGCACACTCAGAGAAAGAAAGAGCTGGAAAGAGAAATCGTCAAGGGCCGTGGACATGCCCAACGCCCGAACCCAACCGCAGACCTTACCGAATGGTGGGCTGGTCTCCGCTGAGCTGCTTAAACCGCCTGTGCAGCTGCTCGATCTGGTCTGAGGAGACTGAGAAGCAGGGGAGGGGAAGGAGAGGGGGAAGGAGAAGAGGGAGAGAAAGACAGGAAGACATCAGTGACCCCCGAACTTGGAAGCCACCAGCAGAAGGCTGGTGACACTCTCCCGTCTCATCCCACCTTCCCGTTCCCCTGCCTTCCCCACCCGGCCAATACCGAGCAGCACCAGAAGAAGACCCCTACAAAGGGTTTCCCATTCTTCCTGGCAAGGCACCTCTGGGGTTATTTGTTCTGATCCCCTTGGCAATACAACTTGGGCTACTAACAGCAGCCCCCAGGACAGTACAAACGTGAACCAGGTCATTTGCCCCTTCCCCGGCCTGCTAAAGGGATCCCAGCCATTCTTCTGACTTCCTCCCTTCCCACTTCTGAAGGCAGGCGTCTTCCTAGCTGAGCAAGGGGCTTTAGAGGGTCAGGCTCATATGGCGAGACAGAGGATATGGAAAGGAAAAGTGGCTCAGGCTGGTGCTTGGGTGATTTGGGAGACGCACAGGGAGACACAGAAGGAGAATCTGGTGCAGCGAGGGAACTAAAAGGAAAAGAAGTGATCTGGATAATTACGCTGTACATGGTGTATGATCTCAATCGTTCTAGAAAACCTACATACCGGAATTTTTCTTAAGGACCCTTTCAAGGCCAGTGGGCCATGTTTCTTCCACAGATGAGACGGGCCCTAGTGCATTCCAAGACTCATAATGGTTCCGTCCACATAGGGCTTATCTTATGAGATGCACAGTATGAAACACCGACCTGCATCTTTTCCCTGAAGCCCCAGCACGACTCTGTAGGGGAGGAGATACCTTTCTCTCTGTCTCATAATCTGAGCCTGCAGCTCAGAGTACTTTCGACTGCACAACTGGGCATCAGCGGAGCTGGGATCCATCTCCCACACCTGCCCTCACCCGCTGCTCAGTATCTCCTGTCTGCCCATATATTTCGGCATGCAAGGCCTTACATCTGATTCCTGGGGACTACATACAGTTCAGGCGGAACCTTCCCAACAGGGGCTGGGCTGATGAACAGCCAGTGCTTCCCCTGCCTTAAACACCTTTTCTCCTCTTATTACAGAGGCAGCTTAATTTTTGGGACCTTCTTTCCAGTGCTTCCCCTGCCTTAAACACCTTTTCTCCTCTTATTACAGAGGCAGCTAATTTTTGGGACCAGCTGGTCATCTCATTTCTTGTTGGGATTTTTTTAAAGAATTTTTAAATTTTATTTTCTTTTTAAAGATTTTATTTATTTACTTGACAGACAGAGATCACAAGTAGGCAGAGAGGCAGGCAGAGAGAGGAGGAAGCAGGCTCCCCGCTGAGCAGAGTGCCCAATGCAGGCCTTGATCCCAGGATCCTGGGATCATGACCCGAGCCAAAGGCAGAGGACTTAACCCACTGAGCCACCCAGGTGCCCCATGAATTTTTAAAAAATATTTTATTATTTATTTGCCAGAGAGAGAGAGTGCGCGCGCAAAAGCGCACAACCAGGGGGAGTGGTAGGCAGAGGGAGAAACAGGCTCCCTGCTCAGCAAGGAGCCCAATGTGGGACACTATCCCAGGACCCTGGAATCATGACCTGAGCTGAAGGCATACATTTAACAACTGAGCCACCCAGGCGTCCCTTTTAAAGAATTTTTTAAGTCATCTCTACACCTAGCATGGGGCTAAAACTTACAACCCCAAGGTCAAGAGTCTCGTGCTCTACTGACTGAGCCAGCCAACCACTGTGCTTTTTTTTTTTTTTTTTTTTGGTCTCAGGCTCAGGTTGTATTGCTTCAAGAATCTGCAGCTCCGAATTCTCCAGCCTCCCTAGAAGCTATTGTTGCTGAGAAAATACTCCTTATGACTGCCAACTGGTACTGAGGCTTTGCTAAGTGCTGGATGTCCATCTCCACACTGTAGCTCATCTCTTCCCCATGACCCCCTGGGATAGGACTGTATCCCCATTACAGATGTAGAAACTGACCCTTGGAGAGGCTGATAACCACCAAAGGCAATTAGCAGCTTTCTGGAGGAGGATATGGCCATTTACAGCACATGCGTCTCAGCAAGGTTGTGTGTATACTCGACCACCTTGCAATTCTGCTCCTGCGTACATACCCAAAAGAAACGCACACTTGTGCTCATCAGAAAATGTACAGACAGAGGTTCATGGCAATACTATTTCAATAGTCCTAAACTGGAAGCTATCAAAACACCCAGCAATGGCAGAACACAAAACGTTACGGTGTAGTCACACAATACAATAGGATATAGCAGTGAACCAAGAGAATATGGTATAACTTGGGTGAGTTTCAAAAACACAAAAATGAACTTCTGGATGGTTTGGTGGAGCTTGGGACTCTTGATAGCAGGGTTGGGAGTTCAAGCACCACATTGGGTACAGAGATTACTTTGAAAAATTTTTTAAATCTTAGGGGCACCTGGGTGGCTCAGTTGGTTAAGGGATTGCCTTCAGCTCGGGTCATGATCCTGGAGTCCCAGGATCAAGTCCCACATCAGCCTCTCTCCTCAGCAGGGAGTCTCCTTCTCCCTCTGACCCTCTCCCCTCATGCTCTCTGTCTCTCATTCTCTCTCAAATAAATAAAATCTTTAAAAAAATTTTTTTAATCTTAAAAAAAAAACCACCTTAAAAACAAGCAAACGAAGTCAGACAGAAAAGAGCATGTACTCTAGGATTCCAACCAAATAAAGTTCAAAAACAGGCAAAACTATGGTTTTAGAAGTCGGGATAGAAAAGCTACATTCTGGATGATTCCAACTATAGGACATCCTGGAAAAGGCAAAACCATGAAGACACAAGAGAGATCAGTGGCTGTCAGAGGTCACAGGGGTGACAGATGAATAGAGTAGAAGGTTTTCATAGCAGTGAAAGGATTCTGTAAGGTACCACTGTGAGGAATGCCTGACAGTACATATGTCCAAACCCACAGAACCTACAACCCCAAGAGGGAACCCTAATGTACACAGTGGACTTGGGGCAATGATAACGTGTCATGTAGGTTTATCAACTATATCCCACTCTGTTGGGCGGTTATCGATAATGGGGGAGACCAAACTTGGGTTGGAGTGGGGATATGTGAAAACTGTAATTTCCCCTGAATTTTGCTATGAACTTATCTAAAACTTCTCTAATAATAATGATGATGATGATGACCTCTTAATGTTTTTTTTAGAGGGGAGCAGGGGGAAGAAAAAAATCTTAAGCAGGCCCCACACCCAGAGCAAGCCTGATGTGGGGCTCAATCTCACGACCCTGAGACTGTGACCCGAGCTGAAACCAAAAGTCGGGACACTTAACCAAATGAGCCACCCAGGTACCCCTGTCTTAATTTTAAAAAGAGAAGTCAGTATAAGGGTTACCCCTGAGTGGAGAGTAGCAATTTGAATGGGATATGAGGGGGGCCCTCTGGGTACTGGGAATATACTATTTCAAGTTCATGGAAACATTTGTTCCTGAGTGATACACTTTTCCATACATGATACCACAATAAAAGGTTTACATGCAAAATTCAGTAATTAAAAAATCAGTAATTCTACTTGACAAGAATTTGTCCTAAAAACAAAAATCCAACAAGAACAAAACATGAATATATATAAAGGTATTCATTTTTATATATATATTTTTTAAGATTTTATTTTTAAGTAATCTCCATGCCCAATGTGGGGCTCGAACTTATAACCCAACCCGAGATCAAGAGTCACACACTCTACCAACGAAGCTAGCCAGGTGTCCCACCTTCATATTCTTAACAGCTTAAAAACTGGACTCAATCTAAGTGCTCACCAAAAGCAGACTGGTCAAATATTTTGTGGTATACTTAGCCAATTAAAAAAAAAAAAAAGCAGGGCGCATGGGTGGCTCAGTGGGTTAAGCCTCTGCCTTTGGCTCAGGTCATGATCCCGGGGTCCTGGGATCGAGGCCCGCATCGGGGTCTCTGATCAGCAGGGAGCCTGCTTCCCTTCCTCTCTCTCTGCCTGCCTCTCTGCCTACTTGTGATCTGTCAAATAAATAAATAAAAATCTTTATTAAAAAAAAAAAAAGCGGGGCGCCTGGGTGGCTCAGTGGGTTAAGCCGCTGCCTTCGGCTCAGGTCATGATCTCAGGGTCCTGGGATCGAGTCCCGCGTTGGGCTCTCTGCTCAGCAGGGAGCCTGCTTCCCTCTCCCTCTCTCTCTCTCTCTCTCTCTCTCTCTCTCTCTCTCTCTGCCTGCCTCTCTGTCTACTTGTGATCTCTCTCTGTCAAATAAATAAATAAAATCTTTAAAAAAAAAAAAAAAGCATGTTGCTTTTGAAAAGTGACAATTGCATATCTGACATGAAAATATATTCCTCATGTGATGTTCTTCAAAAACAGCTTTGCTGGGGCACCTGGCTGGCTCAGTTGGTACAGCATGAAACTTTTTTTTTTTAAGGGTTTATTTATTTGACACAGAGAGAGAGGGAGCAGGCAGGAGCAGCAGGCAGAGGGAGAGGGAGAAGCAAACTCCCCGCCGAGCAGGGAGCCCAATGCGGGGCTCGATCCCAGGACTCTGGGATCATGACCTGAGCCAAAGGCAGACGCTTCACCAACTGAGCCACGCAGGTCTCCACCCGTCAAGCATGAGACTCTTAATCTCCGAGTGGCGAGGTCAAGCCCCCCATTGGAGCCTACTTAAAACAAAAACACAACAGCTTGCTACAAGAGCAGCATGACCTAATGCTGGGGGAAATATGTAGACAGATACAAACGTGCATAAGTAATAAAAGGAAATCTGGATTTATTTTCCCTGAAATAATAGTGATGGTCTCCCCCAGTAGTGGGAGTAAAGGGTTCGTTTTGCTTTGATTCTTCTGTATTTTCTAAATTTTCTGTAATACTCAATGCATCATTTATTAGTCACGTAAATGGATATTTTAGGCACACAATATGGTCCCAGATGGGACAGCCCAGGGATTTCAAAAACATCACTCTAGAGGACTCATCCGTTGGTGGTGTAGCTTGTCCTGCAAACACACGT